TATATATATATATATATATATATACGCATCAAGTAAACATGATGTGTTGAATGCGTATCATTGTTTACATGTCTGTGCCCGAGTTTGAATGCCTGGCCCACGGCCTCGCAGTGTGTGGGGAAGGTAGGGTCTTTGCCTTGCTTGTTGGCTGCAAACCACTCCACTACTCGAGCCGCAGTCCGGCCGCTACCTCGAGCACCCAAATCATTCAAGCGCACCTCTTTGCCTGTGACACAGACAGAGACGGACAAGGGCAGGTAGAAACAGAGACGGAAACTGGAACTGTGAGAAACAGAGTCATATAGGCAAATGTTCGGGTGCAGCAGTGCCAAAGTGAGAATACCATGAAGCACTTTGTTGCATGCACATTGAGGAAACACATGCGCGCTAGTGCCGGATAGCTTTCGGTGCGGTGATTAATCAAATGTGTTGTATAATTGCTGGAATACGTGCAACTGTTCATGCATGCAATGCCTATGCAGACAATGAGACTGTTCTGTATGGGCCCTTTCCTCTTTACATGATGCAGGAAACCCATCTCAGAAATACTTTGTGGTGACGAACGACCGCAACGCCATTGCATCTAGATCTAGATACACTTCAGGGTACCTGCTGCAATCCAACAACTCTAACCTACCACTGTAGCGCTAACACTTACCCCCTCTATACTCAGTTTGGCTCAAAATCAATGTGTATGTACACCTCACCACATTCACAAGGTCCGTCGATAGCCACCGGATATCTGGCGGCATGACGGGCATTCATTGCTGCTTCCTCTTCTTCTGCGGAAGAGTCGGTGCTGTACTTTCTGTTCTTCTGCACAAAATAAACCCCAAACAAACACGCCAAGGCACTTCGCGAGCCACCTCTCGTCCAGAAGTGTCGTACATGAGCACCAGCGGCATATGCGCATGAGCAGCAGTTGCTTCATGAGCAACCGTTTCACGATTAGCGCGCGTATGGGCACCTTGTTAAATCCGTCTTCCCTTCACTATCACATCAAGCAGCAACTTAGGTAAAATTCAACCCCCTCACCAAGAAGTCTAATGCTGGCCTCTCCACTGCACAACGACAGGCCTGGTTCCCATGTAAGGGACAGCCAGTCCGAGCATTAAGCGCCTGCGGCTTCCTACGAGCCCTCATCCTCCTGAATAAATGAAACAGCAAACGGGAAAACAAACGAGCAACATTGAAGGCAAGCAAACGAACAAATGCCGCTAAAGAGAGAGAAGCAAATAGCATGAAACAGCTACGAACAAACAACGCTAAGGCACACAAGACGAACAAGACTAGAGAACAGCAAATAGGCTGTGGTTGTTAGTAGTTGTTGGGTGTTGCCTATTTTGTGTCCTGTGGTTGTTAGTAGTTGTTGGGTGTTGGACACTTCGCTGTGCAATCCATATTTGTGCTGCTTTGCAGAATGTCTGCACTGCTGATTCTGCACAGAGGGAGATGCATGGCCGGGGTCCCTGCATCTTCATACATTCGCGTTGCAGAGAGGTGTTGTTGAAGACAGACGTAAAACGCAGATTGGACACAAGAGAAGGCCGTTATATACACCGGGAGTGGAAGCAAACAAGAGCATCCTGCTTCTCTCTCCCTTTCACAGTGCAAATTCAGTACCGTCGAATTTTTTAGTGCAGAAGCTCCTTTATATACGTATGTACATACATATATATACAAGAATGTTTGAATATGTAAATGTAATGTTTGTGTATACTGTATCATACATATAACCCCTCTGAACAGATGACACTGCGAATCCTTTTTCGGTGTCTTACGCATTTTCTCTGTTAAGTTCGTCTTCGGAGTCGTAGCCCTTGTCAGAGTCTTCACTGGACTTTGACCGTTCCCTCAACTCCACTGCAACCCCACAGCACGAAAGCAAGAGAAAAGTTCTTCCTCTTGTTTTCTTGTTACAGTCAATGCATTCACACCAACAGCAATTACGCTGCCAGCAGAGCTAGTAAGCATATACCGCCAATTGACGCTCCCACTGGAAAAAGGCGAAATAATGTCGATGCACGTTGAGATGCAAGCGTTAAAGCGCAAGTGGGCAGCCGAACTGAACTATCCCATTAAACGACAAGCAGATGACTGTGGTAAAGTGATGTAGTTAACTTACAGGGCCTCGCCTTGGCGATCGTCTTTGTTCCGAAGAAATGCACCTACAAACAAAACATCGACAGATAACTCTCTTGGTTAAAGCTCAAGAAAAGAGTGAATGCAGACGGCACCACCGAAAGCATTCTTTTTTTGCCTAGTTGCACACTGTATTGATTGAGGGGTGTTCGGGAGACAGATTGGTCTACAGCCTGCAACTTTGCAAGTTTCACCCCACTGCTTACACGCCATATGAATTCTTAAATAAATAAGCAAGCGCTAAGAACCAAAACTCCCACTGTGTGTAGTGCTGACTGCTGCGGCGGAAACTTTGTGTAGCTGGGTGCATATGTATATATGATATCTGTGACGTCAGCGGTCTGGTCTAGGGTTAGGGGGTTAAAATCGAATTTAAGGCTACAAGTTGAAAACTCCAGGCTTCTGTTGGTTGAGTCACCTGAATGCCGAATAGCGTAACAACAAACTCCCCAAAAAGTTCCGCCTCCGTCGAATTTTCGAATTCGAACGTAAGCGAGGCGACCTCTCCTTTTTCCGTTTTCACATAAACTTCTGCAGTCTGCAGACAAAGCAGCGTCTCCGTCCACAGGTGAACTTAAACACCAGGGTGACGCTGTACATTAATATTCTACAGTTCCCATACGCCGCAAGGCATTGTATAGAGTGGGAAATATGTAAATATATACTGGGCGGTACATCTATCCCCTGTGCCGGATAGCATTTGAACGCCGTGAACCTGGGCGAGCTCTGTGGGGCCTGCAATACTTCTTCGTTGCCCTGGAACCAATATCCAGTGTTTTTTCAGACGACTACCTAAAGAAGCTACAATGTGCATCGGCAAAACAAAACGCTTACAATATCCTGTCTTTGCATGTACTTAATGTGGGAGGTCCGTATTTCCTTAAGTTCACGCCCCGACCGATCGCAGACGAGAATTCTACACACAGGGTCGTTGAGTAGCTTAAGGAGAAACTCTTGACGTCTGCCTTGAATGTTGAAGAAAACCCGGAAATTTCGATTTCGCAGCTTCGCTCGGCTGGGAGTAAACCTCCTGACTGTGGGCCCCTTGTACGCCGCCAAAGCTGAATGCAGACAACAGCCAGAAGCAACAGAAAAAATGAGTCATCAGCTTCTGTTTGTTGCCTACATGTTTATCTGTTTGTTTGTGAGTAGAGGTAAATGAACGAAAGTCGCTTTCTTGAAGCAGGGAGGCGCCGATTGTTCGGTGTGCATATTCCGCCAAATAACTGTCTGTAAGAGCAGGTAGGCAAGTAAGGAGTGGGTTAGGTAGAAGTTGATAAAGCTGTCTAGTGGTGCTGTTACCTCCTTCTCTCTGTGATGTTTCTTTTGAAGGGTCGAAGAATAAAACATTCTCCAAAACCCATTCCTCTTCAGGCCGGACCGGCCCAGATGCACGTGGCTCCCCCCCTCCCGCAGTGGAAGCAGTCCCCCCCATGAGCAACTGTGCGGGTTTCAATTATGAATACATTTAATATACTCTCCAACAGCAAAGGTGAGTGAGAAACAGGCAAGGGGAGTACGCCGAGCGCCTTGTTGCCGAAGCCCATGAATGCAGAGCGTCGATTTCAGACAAACGTCGCCTTCAAAACTGGAAAAAATGGTACTCTTCTAATACTTTTCAACTAATGGGAAATATATATTGCCATTTGATGATAACATCACAAACAGACTGCTGAATTGTTGGCATGCCAGTGTGGCGACAATGTGCACAAGGCGCAGAACGTTGGTTCAACAGCTCCTTCCAGTCTTTCAAATCTCTCTGTTTTATTTCCCATTGAGGTTCACCAAATACAACATAAATACTAATTGAAGAGAATACCTGAAGATATGGTGATATATATTTTCTCTACTTAACGCACTTCCCAGAGGAATGTATGTTGCTTGTGTTAACTGCTGGAGGCCATTGGTCTGGTGCACAACGCGGGTAAGGCTGCTCCCCCCAAATGCTTCTGAGCTCTTTTATAGTGACATGCTATAAATAATGTATGCACCAGTCGGGCGAACATAGTGCCGCTTAAGGATGTTCTTTGTTAACTGCGTTTCGTCCGCACGGAGCCTGGTACGACTACTCCTCTACAAGCCTGAGATGTTGTTAATAGGGCTGCAAGGTTCCGCCCTCAATCTGTTTTTCTATTCTTCTTCTATTGGCCATTTTGCTACACCAAAAAAGCTTAAAGACGAACGAGCGGCCACCTTGGATGTCGCTGCCAGCGGGAAGGTGCGCGTGAGTTAGAGCAAAACGGGTCTTCGGAAGTTGACTTTCATTGAACTCTAGAGTAAAGCAAATGAAATTTTGACCGAATAATGAAGTACATGGAGCAGCCGAGTATGCTGAACATCCACGAAATTGTGCACCGTCCCCTATGATTCTTGCACAAATTTGCTGAGAAAAATTGTCAGCACGAAGTGCGACCTCATCCGAGGTCTTACTATACGCAGCTTGCTCCCGAACTTCAGAAAAAAATTTAGTGCCGAAAAATGGTTTCTGTCCAGTTTCCTTAGTGAAACTGAGACGGGCAAATGCCCACTTATCGCATCTTCATCATAACTAATTATCTGGCGTTTAACGTAACTGCCGTTTGAATTTTTTGCGCAGTTGCATCCGTCGACTACGTTGGGGCTGTGGCCGCTGCCACGTCCCCAAGACCGCACATTGATCAAACCGAAGCATTTCCTAATCAAATGGGAGGGGAACTTGTCATTAGAATATACTAGTAAGGCGGTAAACACAAATATATATAGATATATACATCTATAGGCGGTAGATATATCTCCCCCTGCGCAGCGGCCATGCTATGTACTTTCGCCGCCGTGCGCTGTTCTAACTCCATTTTAATTTTTAGCAAGCCCCTTTGGGTCCTTGCTCAAACCTCATGGAGGTGGCCTATTTATCAGCTAACCTACGAGTGCAGTTGTGCAGGGCGAAGGGAAAAATAACACGAGCTTTCGGTCACTGTAGGCTTCCAGTGCAGCATCACTGTACAACTGGCAGCAAGCGATGATAACAGCGGATATTCGTCTGCTGCCGGCTCCACTAGATACGGAGGAATGTGACAAACGCCATGCAGGCCCTGAATCCTATGCCTGTACCCACTAGCACTATTAGGAAAAAATATGGACTTCGCAGCTTCTAGTCGCCTTCTCGTACGTCGCCACCAGACGATTGTTGCCGAGGAGCCGCATCGGGCGCCCATTGCTCAGATTCATCGAGTCTGAGCTGAAAGTACTCGAGTTGGCGCTGCAGTTCGTCACACTTTTCAGCAGCTGCTGCCTCTCGTGCTGCTGTGTCGGAGGCAATTGCTGCCGTCTTTGCTTCTAACTCTTGCGCCATTTGAAGTTTCTTCAAGACATCGCTGTGGGTCTCGCTAATTGAGCGAAGAAGTGATTCCCACTGCTCCACGAGTTCGTCTGTTTTGCTGGATACGGAGTTAGCCAATCTGTTGTCTTCTTCCACGGTGGCTGTCAGCTCATCTACTGCCAGCCGCAACTCATCTTTCCGCATCCTATTGTCTGCTGAAACAACTTTAGCGTTTCGCAGGCCCTGGGCAAAAAAAGATATATCCAGCGTGCTGCATACTGCAGCTAAACGGAAAATGGATCCGTCATTCCAACTCTTTTCCCCTGAAAAAAACATACCCCTCAAACGATTTATTCTGTTGGATGAAGCCTTTTAACAAGCTAGCGTGCTCATCGAAGTAAACTGCATGGTAAAAATCAAATAGTATCCATTGCACGGGTGCGACCGCCACCGGAAATGTTGCTCTAATTGAGCGGTTTGTATGAAAGGCGTCATTGAACTGAGGTGGCCGTCATGCCTGCAGCATGCATTGCATCCATAAAATAAAATGAGGCAAATTTGAGGTGGGTTGTGCTATAGCTGCTCACCCGCTGCGAAGACGTGTAGCATCGTGCTGGGGTCTCCCGTGGCCACTGCGAGACCGTGAGAAGGCAGGTCGGCAAGGGGAGAAAGCAAATTTACAGAGAACCAAGACGACACTTCAACGTCATATGCGTTCATGTCTGAGCACACAAACAACGAGAAGCTGGTACAGATAAAAACATGGAAATTCGATAAAACAACGAAGAATACGACACGTAACAGTGAGTTGAATTGACAGGAGCATTTCGACACTAGCCCTCTCGTGAATGTGCAAGAATTCATTTGCAAAGGAAGCAACAACTTGCAAGTGGCTAAACTTACCAAAATATGAAATTTCCCATCCCATCCAGTGTTTTCCCACTCCGCCAAAAATGAAGCAGCGAGGACCTGCAACAGTGGCAGAATGCCTGCGATACACAGGCACAGGAAATCCAGCCAGTGGACCACAACAAGTAGTTTTTGATTTTCTTTCTGAACTGCGGTAGTTGCACTCCTTGAGGAAAGGGAAGACAATAATAGCAACCGCAACGCACCCATGGCGTTTCGCCGGCGGTGTTCCCGAGACTTCTCCTAAACGGTGCCAAGCAGGCTTTTTCGACGCGATAGGCAAAACCCATAGGTCATTTGTATCTGATCCATCTACCAGGCCCCCAAACAGCAGCAGGCTTTCGCCAGTCGTGGCTCCCTCAACTACGCTGAGGCTATGATGCGTTCTGGGAGGCGGCGCGTCCTGATTTGCCAACTCTACCCACTCCTCTGAGCCAATAAAATCACCGGAAAACACAAACAGCAACAGATACGAGTTCTGCCTCAGTACTGCAGGAGCAACAGGCCACGCAGCACCAGAAACAGGATAATTAATAATGGTGCAACCACAACTGGCGCAGCAGCTGGATGACAGATCCTCAGGATTTTAATAGGTCCATGTACGACCCAGTGAGCAGCCCCAAGTGCTGGAAGACTGGGAAAATGCAGTTCAACAGAAGGGCGTTCTGCTTAACTGTGTCAAAATGAAACAAGGGAATATGTTTCGAGGCACACGTGCCAGAACTCACTTGCATTGACTAATTTGCAAGTTGCCGCCAAAGTGTTGCCGTCTTCCCCTTGTCCTCCAAAAACATAAAGTGATTGGGTCTTCGCAGAGAAGGCAGCAGCATGAAAGCAGCGTTTAGCAGGTTTCTCCCCTTGACACTTGAGCTTCGTCCACTTGCGGTTTGCCGAGTTGTAGAAGAAACAATCATTAACAATATCCCCCAAATGCGAACGGCCACCAAATAAGAAGGCCCCTTCAACTCCTTTGATACAGGCTGGGGTCAGCGAGACCCCCAGTCCTGCTTCTGGCAACTCTCCGCTTCCTTTCTCCTCTTCGAGCCTGCAGCATCAAACGAAAGAAAATCAAGAGCTCAGGGGGAGATAAAAGACAAAGAACTACTTCCGGTTAAACACTGGTTATCCTGTGCGCAGCTCTGCATTCAACATGCGGCCAACTCATCCCCAAACAGCCAGAGCTGCCTCTCTTACAAACACGTCAGTTACGCTTGGAGAAGAACACAGTCAACAGCAGATGTAAGCGTGTGTGTAATTCTTAAATTCACAGTGCAGTTGATACAAGATACGGCTTGCGTGAGCTGTGGCTGTGTCGTGCTATACTTTTGTTTCTTTGGGTGGTAAACAACCATTGCTGGGGGGTCAACAGGAGATTCGACGATCCAAAGAGCAACTCGAGAGCCCAAGTCGGCAGCTGTAAAGCTGCAGAGTGTCTGACAGCCCGGCCATCTCGCGGTCATGCTGAGAACGAATCCGGGGGGGGAACTGCCCTTCATGAGGGTCCTACGGTTGCCCCTTCTCTGGCCTTCATCTTTTCCCTCTTCATCTTCCCATAAGCATAGACCCTTCAAAGCATACTGCAGTCGCTGGGCATTTGCAGCGGCCGCTATTGCAGCAGGGGCTTTCCGTTCATCGCCTAGGTGTGATGCTGGCATTGCTGACGCTAATGCTTTCTCTCTGAGACGCTCTGAACAGTTTTCCAGCAGACAGTTGTAAAGCGATTGCCTCTTGTTTACTTTCTTGGGGTGGTCCCTCCAAGGAGCCGCTTATGCTGTCTCGCAGAAAAGGGGGGATGCGGCACATCCACCTCCCTATCGTCCTTTGCGTTCTCCCCCCCTCCATCAACAACCTTGGGGGGCTTCCTTCAGTTTTGAGGGCTCAGCGTTGAGCTCATATACACACAACGCTGCAGAGGAGAAGGAAGAAGATGTTCGAAGTGCGTCTTGAACTTTCCGGTGGTCCTAGCCGTTCCGTTCATACACCTGAAGGAGCGGCAGCAGCTCACCCTTCGGGCTCTAATGAAGCATCCAGGCCGAGCGAACTCCACTTCAATTTCAAATTTAGGAGCTAAACAAGCATCTGGCACAAATTCGGCAGACACACTATGCGTGTCACCGACGGTCGTGGCTGTGGTTCGATGGCGCCACTGCAACACTAGGGGGACACGCGCGAGCTAATTGAGGATGGCGGTGTCGTTTTTGGCCTGCTCCTTTGAGCAAACACAATAAAATACCATTAAAAACATGAAAATTCAAATATTCATTGAGCCTGTCACAGATCTGGCCCCCATCAACAGCTGGCCGATAAGGAAAGGACGCCCGCCGCCCTCCGGTGCCGTATGGAGGGGAGGAAGGCCTGCAATGTTCTGTTGATGTTCCTTGGGCTGTAGCACTTTCTTCTGTAGGCCAAATAATGCTGTTTTCGTTATATTTAAAGGGAAACATTTTTCTGGGATCACGAGACTAAATCGGTGCGCTTTTCGTGGCTTGCTGGCTACTCCGAGTGGACTGGCAGTGTGGATGCAGATAGTTTTCTGCGACGCCTGAGGACTATATTAGAATTAGGTTATCAACAGCCCGTTAATTGTAAATATAAAGGGAATTTTAAATGGTTGTTTTAGATTATAGTTGCCTTTAACTCTCCGGGCGATTCACGCGCATCAGTAGAGTTGGGAACTTCAGTATCGTGGCCGTTTTGCCTTCGGCCGATTGGCTGAACCCACACTGCTGGTGAAACGAAACGTTATGCTGCCTTAACTTCGCTGTGAGGCGTTTCAAACTCTCTGTGGAACACAATGGGCTTCACGCTCGCCCCCGATATTCTATGAATTGTGCATAGCACACCAGCGTAGCGCCCTGTCGTGTTGACCTGGAGATAAGGGTACGAGCCTATATATCCAAGTCAACAAGGGAACCAAGCGAATATTAATTTTTGACTTGTATCCGGCTGTGAAAAACCCATACACAGACATTCTTGCACCAGGCAGCTGACACGTTAATATGGCCTGCTCCTGAAATATTTGGGTGGGAAGAATTATTATTGTGAACTGGGAAACAACACTGTTAAGGCCTGTTAAGTGTCCCTACCCTACTCCCATTGCGTGTCTTTGTTAATCTGACGCATTCCGTATTTAATTTCGTTTTCTTAGTCTCAGGTGCCCCCTGAGTACTTCACGAGAATACATTATAGCACGAGAGTGGTGTGTGGACACGGTAACCAACAGGCCACACCAACAGGTGTTGATATTTTTAATCATGTTTAGGACTCATGCCAACCGCGTACAACGGACTTCAGAGTTGAACAAACGAGGGCAACGACAACTAAAGACAGGGAGAGAACCGTCGTTCCCCACCGGGTCTTCAAGGGGCCCTTTCCATGCAAGTAAACTCTCCAGTTGCCGTGTGTGTTTATCTACGATGATTTATGGGCTCAGCAGCGAATATATTCGCATTCATGAAGACTTGCTGATGCCTCAACTGCTGCAGTAACACCTGGTATTCCGAGATAACTACATTGGTTAGGTCTAATCAGAAAAGGTGCCTAGGAGTAGGAGACATCTTGCCTTTCTTTTTCCACGTCTTCTTATTCGTCTCTTTAGCGCCGCCACAGCAGATTGAGATCAATGCGTCCTACTCTACACAAAAGAGTAACTTTTGTGCTGAAGCTGCAAGCATGAGGTCCACTAACCCCATTCACCGCCATCCAACCACCCCTGGAGACGCTGAAGGGAGGCGACGGTCACAAACAACCGGGGAAGAGGAAATCTTGGAACCAGGGAGAAAGGCAGTTGCAGTGGTACGACACAGTTCCACATGTACTTCGATCCCTCTCTAATCAATGGAAATACACCTGCGAGCAGTCTGTGGGTTGGAAACTGCCAGTCTCAGCAGCAATGTTGTGCTGCAATGCACTATCCGACGTGCGGCCAATCGATTTAAATTATAATAATCGTCATTATTGAGGACACTAACATTACAACTGAAAAGCTGCGTGGCTAGAGCAACAAAGCGTCATGGCCACTAGTACTAGCACGTCGTACTGGCAGCGCTGTACGCCAAAATGCTATTGTGGAGTGCCCTATTTGACTCTCTAAAGCAATACTACCACGAAGCTTCTTATCCAAACCATCAACAAATGAAACAGGTCTGTTGTGGAGCAACAGCCGCCACTGCAGCAGCAGCTGCACCACCAACTGCAGCAGCAGCCCGGGAGAAAGGAAACAACGCTAAAGGCAAATATAAGCGCCCTAACGTATAATCCCGTTACACCCGTTCTGCCCTCCCCGCATTCCTACTTTACAGCTGCAGCAGCAGCAGACCGCCTGCAACCCTTCCCATGCAAACGGGCTGCTAGCTGCAGCATGCTGTAGGCTGTTGCCTGAGCAGCGACTGGGACCTCTCTGATCAATACTCGAAGCGCAGGATTGCTTTGTTTAGAACTTCATGGCGTGGGGGGCCATGTTTGATCTCAGGGTGAAACGTGTCTTGAGGTACTGCTTGAGGAGGGCGTCCTTGTTGACTACGGCGAGGAGAGCCTTGTCGACTTGTTCCTGCAGTTTCTTTCTTTCCTCTGGGAGGGCCTTCTGAGTTGTGTTCTCTTGCTGAACGAACATGGAGGTATCGTCCTTCGTGCGCATCTTCCTTTCTTCTCGCTTCTCCTTCGGCGTGCGGGTGAACATCTTGTCGGTAATGCCGTTCAGATTCACGCCAGAGACGTCAACTTTGGTGCTTGTGGCGATCACATACCGCGGGTTGACGCGGCGAAGAGGCACTCCATTGACTGTGAAAGGTCCTGTGACAAGGAGAAGGCCCGAGGGCTCCAGCTGCTTCAGGCAGATGACACGCTTCCCTCTGTAGCCGCTGCTCAGGAGGATCAGCACCGTGCCAGGAGTAATACTCTTCCTAAGTTTGCAAGATGTCTTCCCCATTGCCTGACGCTTCAGGTCCGTCGCTCTCTTATTCTTCTGCCTCAGACGGAAGCGCCCACCACGCGCACCCTTCGCTGCGCCAGCAGCTGCAGCGCCCTGGGTGGTCCTCTTGGCCTGACTCATTTTGCTGTGAAAGGCAATAAAAATACCTTTTGCTGTAGAGAGAAATGCCCACACAGCACATTCAAAATGCTGGCAGCAGAGAACTCCAAAGGCATGCATTGCAGCAGCCGCAGCAGCCGCCAGGCGATGAGTGAGGGGCGTGGGGTGGGGCGCCGTGGAGGCCGCCAATTTTTTTTTCCTGAGAAAGCCCCAAATGAAAACCCATTCAAGAACCATTATTAGTTAGTAGAATAAAACATAATCATATAGTTTTCGTCATGAAACAAAGAGGAGGACCCTTCTCATCTAGTTCCAAGCTAATGTGCATACGTCGCATGTTGCATACTGTGTGCCTGTTCTTTCCGAGTCTAAACAGATCCATGAGTAACAAATAGTGAGGTTTAGCCAAAAGTTTTTATACAGGAATGTAGGTTAGATGTTCTGTCATTTGGTGTGACTAGGGCTATACGACTTGCTTTTTACACTTAGTAGCAAGTGGTAATACAGCGGTACATACGCTGCGAGGCCTCGCATGGATCGTGTGGCCCGCATCCCTTCATGCCCTTCTTCTATTATTTAAATTGACCATTATAAAAGACGAAAAATGACAAGGGCAGCACCATACGACGTGGATTCGCACCTAACGACTTTTCCCTGACTGCTGTGATGCGCGCATGCTCGGAGACTTGCCAAGGCGGGTAATCAAAGGCCTCATTGTCCGACTTCTCTTGCTTCTAGATTCAAAAGGCTGAGCTGCATCTGAACACAGAATGGGAGAGTCGTTTCTTGTAGGGTTATCTTTCTGCGTGTTGCCATTTTGTGGCATATCATCAGCCTGTGCCACAGACCATCAAATGACCCCTATTGCCTGTTTTGTGCCAATCTGTTTGCCACACGCGACACACTCTGCTTCAAACTGGTCCTGCCTGCAGTGCAAGCATCCCAGGCTGATGTGGTGCATAAGCAATCACTATTTTTCACCATGCGTAGGTAATGTGAGACCCCAGACTTTGAACCAGACCCTCTTGTGCTGCATGAAACAACTGGAAAACAACCTTCCGTAAATGCAATGACTCCTTCTCTCGAATAGCCAATTCGTCTTGCATTTCATTTGGGACTCCCAACAACGAAGGCACCTGTCGTAAGAAACGCCACTCGCCCACATCCGAAGGAGGAGGTTCCACGGATTCCTTGGCACCACAACTATGTTTTTGAACGCGGCCTGCGTGTACAATTGACTCCCCAAAGCTCATTTAATCTAACACTAGTAGTGGTGGACTTGTGGCGCTTTCATAGTCGACATAGTTTTGCAAATTTTGAAGGCTTTGTCTGACGGCACAATGGAGGGGATTTGCTGCTCCCGTTTAAGGTGGCATTTCAACAAACTTTTTAGTGTGGCTATGCAGAAAACGCAAATGATGCCCTGAAATTCAAGAAACGCATGTATAGAAAAGGAACAGCATATATTACACCAAGAGGTGAAGTAAGAACGAAAGAAGATGCATTTGCAGAGCTACGATCCCCGAGCGTACTCAGGTTGCAATTCGCTGCAACCCCTGCCGTTTCTGAAATTTTCCAGTGCCCTATCCCATTGGTGCTTCTTTCAATTTATGCAACACGCGTTCTACGCATATGCGTATTGCTGTGGAGAAAGGCAAAAAAGGAGGGTGGTAATCTAAAGAGTGAGCGCAGAGTGGTGCGCTTTTGAGTTGCCGAGAGTAGGAAGAAAGAAATAGTTGCTCTTGCACGAGTTGTCGGTTTAGCGATATCTAAAGTATATAGCCATCCATTTTCACGTTTCTTCCATTTTTGAACGGGCATTCCCTGCAAGAGACACTAGGCCTTGTCCGGCTGCAAGCACAGCCACAACATCTTTCGCGACATACAGCAAAGGGAGGCAAAAATTGAGAATCATTACCAAAAGATCCATCTCATTTGGCGGATCTATGGAATATGCTACCCAGCTAGGCTCGTACTGCTCCTCGTTGGCTCTACACAAAAGGGTTCTTAGGAACAGGGTTGACCCTGCTTCGCTGCGCTACGGCAACTCCCGTGGAGCAGCGAAGTAGTGTCAAACATATTGGTGCCTCTTTCTCCAGAACAATAAATGCAGCAGTTAATACCGCAATAAAGAATATAGAAACTACCCTAATGTAGGAGCATCTGCTGTCCCATTGATATATCTCTGAAGGTGCTGAGAAAAAGTGAGATGCCCCAAGGCACAAGGTTGGGAGTACGACAGTCGGGGATCGAGCTTTTCTTTGCTCTGCCTCAGGAGAACGCTTTTACTGTAAAATAATTCGTTCCCTAATGGAGTAGTGGCATCATAAAATTGTCCCTGCATTGCCCTGCCACCGATGCATTGCGGCCTCATGTTTTTTCGCGCTTTCTCCTGCTTACTAACGCATCAAATTTTCAAAAAGCTACAGGTGAGCACCCTGCCTGTACACAGTACAATACAGAGGACCTTGTTACTTCTACTGAAATGACATATGTGGCACGAATTCTGGCTTCTCGTGTGGAGTTCCTATGCTACCGTGAAGCCGGCCCCAAACATGGAACATAGGAACACTCCCTAGGCGTCTCGAGGACAGCTTGTAGCATTAACTGCACTCCGTAGTGTTAATTGGTTTTAAAAACCCCCTGTTTGTGGGCGATAACTTGAGATGGAACTCTGGTGAAGCGGATGATCTCCCGGAGTTGGCCATATGCGACAGCACGCAACAAGCCGTCGAGCGATGGCTAGAGAAAACAGCTGGGCTCAGATGGTTTCCCTTCGGCGACTAGTTTGGTTCAAGAAGTCACTTGTTAAAAAAACAATTCTTTTATAAATGTAATGATGGTTCAGAGAAGAAGACAGAGCAAAACCAGCCCCCAGATTCCCTCCCGTTCAACCGCCGCCGCTGCGCTGCTCGCCACTTGACTTGATTCGGGCCTGCGGCCCCACGGCAACGGGAAACTTTGTGTCTTGTGCCATCTTATGAAGACCCTCTAATGAAACTTTATCATTTTTGTTGAATTTCAGGGACGAAGAATAAATAACACGTGTACAGGACCCCCGCTAGGCGCCGCTGCAACATACAGAATCGACGCCGGTCGGCGGCAGCCAATGAACCACAGTGCAGCAGCGACAGGAGAACAAAGTGAATAACAACGGAAAGAGATGATCTTCGCTGCCTCAACAACAACTCGGAATTTGCCGCAAGCTCTTCATTCTCTTCTGGCAGAAGCAGTATAAGACGCATTCACGTTTCGCCCAACGGTTTGCAGCATTTTAATGGCAAACGAGCATCAATTCAGTGGATATTCGCCTGCATGCAGCTTCACAACTTCATGAGTAAACGAATTTCCTTCAACGTGCCTGTTGTTTGAGTCATTCTTTCCCTGCAACAGCTAAACTCCTCCTCCATGCACTGCCACTCCGGCGTTTTGAGGCCGGAGGAAGACACATCAAGGTGTGCTATGCTGCATTTGCGGCCGAGATAAAATGATGAAGACTCCTCAAGAGCGGTCTGAAACGTCAGATAGACTCGCGGAACAGTTACGGTGTGCGTCTGCATGCGGCCTCATCACGGCGGTGCTGCCCACTACTCAGAGCTTGCGATGTAGCGTTGCCTGTGCTGCAGAGTGTGTTCATGTCTTACTATGCATGTTCAAGTACTGTAGTGCACGCATGCATATACACAGATGTGTCTGTGTCTTGTACCCGTGTTCTCTGATTGTGGTTAGTCGGGTGTAGCTTCGGTGTGCCGCGTGAGGATCAAGCATAATGAAACTACATTCGCTGCGGTGTCTCCCTCATGTCCAATGCTACTGCTCTGTCTACAGCCCTGCAGCAAGAAGAAAATCTTTTGCTGAGGTCCTGGGGTTTTCCAAGGTGCGGCTAGACCCGCTGTGCCTCTGCTGGGCTGCACTTTAAACCCTACCCTAAATGCTAAAGCATAGACCCTCCACGGTAGACCGTGGGGTAGTTGTCTCAATTATGTTTGCTGCTGATCGATGAAGGCACTATGAGTGTAAGAATACTGCTTCAAAAGAGTACCTCAGGAGTTAATATGGGGGCAGTTGTCAAGGAGGTTGCATCATATCTTGTTGGCGTGCAGGCAGGCGTCAAGGTCTCAAGAACAGCCGTCTCCTCTTGGCACTGCAAAGAGAATGCATCAACTCAGAGAAGGGCCCCCAGAAAGGGCAAGAGACCCTGTCTGCCTTTCCAGCCTACGGAAGCGTTCTTGCGTATGTGTTGCAGCACCCTAAACATTTCAACAAATTGAAGCAGCTGGTAGTGTCACTAGTTAAAACAGTTACAATTGGCAAAGTCATCGGATGGCTCTTTGCTGTTCGTGGCTTCAGCTGGATGCTATCTTTGTGCACTCGTATCTTGGGAATCGTCTACCTAGTGCTACGCTTGGATCCGCTTGTCTTTAGAATCCTTTTGTATGCTTCTGCCCCCTAGACTTTGGACTTCCTTTGTGTCCCTTTCTTTTCAGAATCATTTGGGCCTTCGCGTGCGGGTGCTGAGTGGCAGCAGAGACGATTTTCTAAAGGGTTCGTCTCTCCCTATCTGCTGCCGCTTCGTCAAAGTAGAGGCACAGATGTCTTGTTGCAGCTAGCCTGTCACTGCCAGTCTATGTGACTGACTTGCAGTCAAAAGGCCAGCTACCTCTGTTATACCTTCTAAAACGATGCTGTTTGCCCTGTGTTTGCTGTTCTGGCTCAGACTACTCAAGAGGTACACCCAGCTGCGCACCGGCACCAGCAAGGGGTACAGTAGTAGCGGCTGCCGCTACTGCTGCGAAGGTTAAGGAGGCCGGTTCGAATGCCAGGATTAGGAGGGACAACTCAACGGTACAAGGCTCCGCGAGGGGGCGGATCTCCAGGGACTTTCCTCGCAGCTTCTCTGTTGCATCGAGGTGTGCATACATCCCGTATACACAGACAGGCAACCTTTATACCGTGGATTGCTGCTCTCCAGCTCCTCCGTCCAGAGACAGTTCCGTATGCCCCCCAAGGACACCAGGAAGCAACGTAAGCTTTGCGCTGCAAGGAAGGCCCCCCCTTGCCACGACGCAGCAACGGGGCGCACAACAGCAAGAGGTAAACGCATTGTCACTTAGAAGACAACAGCTACTGCAAAAGCAGCAGTTGCAAGAGCAACGACAGATACAACAGCCGCGACACCAGGAACGACGACAACAGCAACAGCAACAACTGCTCCATTGGTTGCAGCAGCAGCAGCAGGGATGCCAACTGAAAGAGGTTAGTGCCCCTCCTCCCTTGATTCGTCTGGATGTTCCCAAGTGTGCACACACTTTACCTGCGTTTGAGACCACTTGAGGCCGCTACACGGCTGCAATACGTTCGGCCGCCCTCTTCTGGTCGACATGGCCGAGAAACAGCAGTTGCAACTTTCGGGGGTCTTGAATGCCGGTGCCGGCAGAGTACGATGTGGAGCGCAGATTGGGGTGTATGGACTGCTCAGGCAGAGGGGCGTAGGCAGCCACCTGTGGAGCTACAGCAACAACACAGCAACACAACGTCAACAAGCCAACTGCAGCAAAGGCAGCAGCACTCGAGAGTGAGGCCGCGGCAACCAGGATACACTCGAAGGGCTTGCCGAGCACATGCGTTTACATGAAACCTTATGTCCATCCTCTCCACTGGCATACACAGACGCACACAAGCATAGCTAGCTAGCCAGATGGCCACCTTGCTACCTACCTAGCTAACTAGCTGACGATCTATCTAACTCTCTAAAACCTGAAACCCCGATAGATGGTGTGTTTCTTCTCCCTCTCCCTCAGATGATCAGGGAAGCAGAGCACAAGCCAGAAGCTTGCTTTGGTCACCCCAGCAGCCACACGATTAGCCCACTTCTCCACCAGCAGCTTCTGGAGGCTGAAAGGCGCGTGCAACTGCTACATACGTTACTACAGCGGCAGCAACAACAACAGCAGCCAGTCCATCTCCCCGAGACGCAAGGGGGGAGGCGCCCTCCACCGCAACTCCAACAGCAGAAACTGCAGCAGGTGCAGCATCAGCAGCAATCAAACCAGAACCAACAACAAAAGCAGCAACAGCAGCCGACGCAACAACAACAACAGCAGCAGCAAAAGCAACAGCAGCAGCAACATGAACGGCAACAGCAACAACACCAGGAGCGGCGCCAGCATCAGAAGCAGCAGCAACAGCAGAGACAGAACCAGCAACAGCAGCAGCGGAGGGTATTGCGACAAATATTAGAAGGTTGTAAGCTATCCCGTTTGGGTCCTTTGGATCCCCAGGGAGACACTGCCTCCAGTGGTTCCATGCGTGAGTCTCCTCGCGAGTTGCAGTGCCTGTACAGCTCCACAAGAGACACTACAGTGAGACAAGGAGTTGCCGGGGGAAGGAAAGGCGGCAGTGCATCCGACCGAAGCGACGAAGAGTACACGAGTACACTGGTGCAGCTTAAAGGCAACAAGGAGACACTGGACCCGCAGCAGACTGAGTGAGTTGTTGCCTTTTCTAAGACATGGAGACCTCAGAGAATTTGAATGAAACCGCTTCGCTTTGCAGCTGAACTGCTGCCCTCTAATAACTATCTCCTGTCTATGTCTCTTATGCAGTGCCGACCCCTGTCTCCTTGTCACCTTTTCCTGTCTTCGTCGTTGTCTGTGCACAGCTGCAGGTCCCGCTGGGTCTCCTGTGGTGACGCTCTGGCTGAAGCAGTTGACCAGTCTCAGGAGGAGCTCCTGTTTTCTCTAAAGCAGGTAGGCGTTCCTTTCCTTTTGTCTTTTGGGCTTCCTTTCTGTCTCCTGTTGGCCCATTCCTTTCGGTTTCCTTGTGTCTCCTGCCTCTTCCTTGGGAGTTCTGTCACAGTTCTGCTGTCTTCTGTTCTCCTTGGCTGTTGTCGCCTGCCTCCTCATGTGGAGTCGCTGCTGTTGCTCACCTCGCTCTTCCTGCTGCTTGGTTTAATGGTGCTACTGTTACTATTACTGTTTCTGCCCCTATTGCTTCTCCGAGTACTCCCAGCCCCCTCTCCGTGGGTGCCGGTACAGCAACTCAATTGCCCGTTCGGCGCAAACGTTTGTAGTGAACCTCAACACGTATGGGGGCATCAACGGTCTTCAAATCTACTGTGTGTTGCACATTCTCCCCCTGTTTCGTAGGTTGTGCTACCCGTTTTCAATCAGTGACTGTATTGGGGTCTGTACGCTGTTAAACAGGAACTTCGGAAGCTTGCGGAGTTAGGAGGTACATACTCCTCATTAAAAAGTGATCTGCAGCGCATTAGGTCAGCTGTCTCCACATAGTGTAATGCAAAGGCGACAGCGTAGAAGCGCCGTCTCCCGATTGAAAGTTTCTGTTTCTCTGACTGCTATACTCCCTTCTGCAGCTGTTCCCTCCTTTTCTCTCCCCTTAGTTCCCGTCTCTGCCTCCATTTACTGCATGCCTCTTGGGTGTGTGTGCGGCTGCATCGCAGGCGGCGGGCGGCAGCACTGCGTACTCAAACTGCAGGAATATATCAGCATTTAGAGTCTGGCGGCTGCGACAAGCCACAGCAGCAGCAAGAGCACCAGCAGCAACAGCAGCACCAGCCTTCAGCGGTTTGCCATACCCCACCGAACCCAGTTGGTGTAAGCAGCGGTAGCAGCAGCTGTTCATTAAACTAATAGCTGCTAGATCCAGCCAGGAGTTTCCTGAAATTGCCAAAGCCTCCCAAGCCTGTCTTCTTGAATGGCAACCTCAGCTGCCATTTTTCTTGACTTTATGGAGGTACTAGCTACTCAATGCCTAGGCACAAGCCCAGGTTATACATGGGAGCATGTAAATATATTTGTGAGGATTATACCCATTGTGGTATAGTGCTGAGTTGCACAAACACTGCGAAAACAATTAATTTCGCTTTTGAAGTGCACGGAAGGCACAGAACACCTTCTATCCTCTTATTAGGAGAGGTGGCTCTGTTGCACAGTTCAATAAGCCATAACAGACAATCATCGACAATCGGGCAACAACCTCGCGGGGATCTCATTTGCGCAACACGAACAAGAAGGAATCTTGTTGCAAGCACGGGGGACTCTCGGTGGAGTAGAATCTCTTGAACGCTGTACAGGGGGCTTGTGATTGCATAAGATACTGACTTGCATTACTAGTTGCTGTAGGTGGCTCAACTGATAACAAGCCATCTCGAGGCTTCAACTGCCCCAGTTAGTGTCAGTGAGAACAATGGCACCACGGTACCGCAACAGTAGGGATGAAGACATAAACAGCGCCAACAAGCTCACGCTACTGCGCAGGTTTGCTGTTGCACTGCTGAAGCAGGTAGTGCTGCTGCCACCCACCGTCTGTTTTATTGACTAGCTTTGTTTGTTGCTGGGTTTCAGCAGTAAATCAAAGGCAACAGCGTTGACCACACAGTTGCCCCAACTTTCTGCCGCCGGAGGGGCAACAGAGAGAGCGCCCGTTGCACAACGTGCTGCTGCTGCACAGTTCATTTCCATTCGTCCGGTAGTTCTCCAGGTGGTAAATACGGCATATAACACCATCGTACATAAGACACCAACATAGCGAACAGCAGTAGCATCTCATGCATCTGTAGAAATTTCTGCAGCTGTAAACCGGATGTAGAAGACACTGTACGACGACACTTTGGGGCCAAGGCTGCTGCTGGAATATCGCGTACAGCAGCATCAAGAAGGCAACAGCAGCAACAGGGGTCTCCTGTACGGGGATCCTCGAGCTAGCGTATCCGAATGATGAGCTGCTAAGGAATCGCTTAATGTGAGAATTTACCAAGACAGCTGAGTGCCACTCCAGCCTACAGGCTCGCTGGTTACAGCTGCCTAAGGGCCTGGGAATAAGAAAGAGGAGACCGTCTGACACCCTTTTGCAACCCAACAAAAACGTTACAGTAATTTCCATCCTGCACACAATTTGTGGTACCCGTATGAATTCCTCGAACTATTATTGCATATCCAATGTCGAAGGCATCCAGCAGAAGTCCCTTTAAGCAGGTCTGATTGTATTTTCAACATCTCTTATCCATGTATAGTGGATTGGCCTCAATTGCTCTTTCTTTTCTTATTCTGAGGGCTCCTTACCTGATGTAACAGCGGCATTTGCCGCAGGCTTCCAGTAGCAAGGGGGCAAAGCAAAAGAGCAAGCAACAGCAGTTTAGAGACAAAGGTAGTAGCAACAGCAACAAACGATGCAGCAACTAGACAACACTCAACAACAAGTGCATACAAGGTGGCAAGGCAAAAGCGCAAGCAACAGCAGTTTGGAGACCAAGTAAATAACAACAGCAACAAACGATGCAGCAACTAGACGACACTCAACAACAAGTGCATACTTATGAAAGACGTAGCAGAGGAATCCAACACCCTAGCAGGTCTGATCGTATTCTTTCCATCTTTTGTCCATGTATAACGGATTGTGAGCCCCCCTTCTCACCAGCATCATGCCCTCTGGCTGCTGTGTTAGAACTCCCACACTCACTGTTAGCGCTTTCGCAGATTACCTCAGCTAAAGTCGAGGGCCTTCACAACACGAGGCAAACATACAACCCAGAGGACCTGTAACGAGAATTCTGGTCCCACCCGAGGGGACTCTCAAGAACAGTGAAATTGAAGTACTAAAGAGAGGGTTCCTTAGAAGCCCCCAACTTTCCTCCCCAGTCTCAGTGATTACTGGGCACAGCGGGCCAAACACCTAAAGTTCTACGTGTAGGAGGCGGTCTGAGACGAGTTGCAACGCACCTCCCAGCAACTCGAAGGTGCAAGACAGCCCCACATGCAAGCATAAACAAGCCTTCTTCGTTGCATGCACTAACAATGCATGAAAATGCTGGGAACTTATGATTAGGCGCCAGATTCCTACCAGGGTGGAGTACGGGTTCATGTGCCAATATCAGACAGTCCTGCCTACTGCAGCGGACACACTATGCTGGAGTAGCGGAGAGAATCGACTGGTGTTACGGTGTGGTGCAGGGATTAATAGAGGTGTTTTTCAAAGAATAAAGCTCGAAAACAGTTGAGAAATGAATAAAAGGAGCAAAATCGCAACTACTGTACCACGGGAAGGGCGGGGGGAGTGCTGGTGGGACGCCTCAAACCTCCTCCTGTAGAGGTTGCTGCAGAGGGGCGGCAAGAGCCCCCGTTTTTGTATTTGTTGGCGGTGTTGACTAAAACTAAAGGAAAATTTATCTAAATGAGTCTAAAACAAGGCATTTATTTTGTAAAATGAATATAAAGAGACACACAAACACCAGAGCCCCTCCGTGCAAGCAAGCCCGCTGCTGCTGCTGCTGCTGCTGCTGCAGCGGCCGCTGCTGCAGCTGCGGCTGCTGCTACTGCTCTGGGCATAAGAAACATACGTTGTGCCTGCGCCTTTGCAGCAGCAGGGGAGGGGACAGGGATGCTTGGGGACTCGGTCTTCTTCGATCGATTTTCAATCATTTGAGGCTCCTCCAGAGGTGTATGTACACCTCAATATGACTCGTCAGCGTTCGAGAGGCTCGCTCATGCTGTTATGTCCCGTTGACAAGCAATCTTAGCACCTTAACAGGAGGGGGCGAAGCCCTTGATCTCTGTCCTTCTCATTTGATTATCTTCTGCCTTCCTCTGTTTTTTAGTCTTTAGGGTGTTGTTTTCTCTGTTTTACCGCTGATTCCTTTGCGCCTCCCCTCAGCCTCCAACCCCCCTCTGCCCCCAGATGACCGGCATTGCGCCTTGGCTGCAGCTGCGGCGAAAGCCTAAAACCTAAACCCTAAACCCTAAGACCTCTTCATAAGAGCTCTCTTTAGCAGGACGCAGAAGCTGAGGCTTTAACTGCTGCTGCACCCGTACAAAAAGGGTCACAGGGACCCCACCGATAGCAGCAGCAACGGCAGCGGAACAGAGAACAGCATCAACGACATCTGTAACAGCGGAAGCAGCAGCCGCAACCGCAGCAAACAGCATAGGAGCAACAACAATAAGAGCACGAACATTACAACAACGACAGCAACAGCAACATCAGCAGCTCTAGCCATAATGTCTCCCTCACTTAGGTACCCAGACCGGTCCTTCGTTGAACAGGAGGCTCAGGCCTCAGGAGAAAATGTTTGCAGTGGCAGCAGCAGCTGCAGCTGCAGCATTTGCTGCTGCAGCAAGGACACATGTGGAGGCACTGGCTGCGACACCAGCAACGGCAGCTGCCGCAGCCCCTGCAGCAGAAGTAGCATCGAAAGGGAGGGGGGAGAAATACCTCCCCTGAGAGATTCTATTCATCCTTCTTGGCTTGAAACACATGCAACAGCCGATCCTTCGGCAGCAGCAGCGGCATTAGCAGCAGTTGCAGCAGGACAAGCTCCAGCAAGTGGCACACAGAACTCGGGGCTTTGGGCCGTCGCGCTGCAGCAGTCCGCTGCTGCTGCTGCTGCTGCTGCTCTCATGAGACGCAGCCCCTCTGCCCCTAGCTTGGTCAGCGGTGTGCTGCGGGACTGCCTCCAGAGCAGGCAGCAGCTACACCTGCTGCAGCAGCAGCTGGTGCTGCAGCAGATGCAGCAACTGAAGCTGACACCGCAAGACCAGCAGCAGGACCCTGAGGGACGTGGCTCCCAGGAACTCGAAACTCCTGTTGAGCAACAACAACCGCAAGAACTAAGACAGCAGCAGCAGCAGCAGCTGCAGCAAGAACAGATGCAGCCACAGCTGCAGCAAGAACAGCTGCAGCAAGAGCACCGCCCGATAGCCACCGCTGCACCAACTATAGCAGCAGAGGCATTTGACTCCACAGACAATCAACAGCAGCAGCAGCAACAGCTGCAGCAGCAGGAACAGCCGCAGCAGCAGGAACAGCCGCAATCGCAGCAGCAGCCGCAGCCTCAGCTGCCGCACGAGCAGGAGGCGCAGCAGTTGCTGTTGAAGCAGAAGACGGAGGGGGAGAAGCATCAACAGAAGCAGCAGCAGCAACTGATGCCACAGCAGCTGGAGGTGCCCATTCCTCCTCCCCGACAGTCGCAGCAGCAGATGCGGCAGCAAAAAGGTTTAGCATCAGCGACAGCAGCAACAGCACCAGGCGCTTCTGCCTCGGGGAACAGCAGCAGCAAGTTTGGGTCCTTAGCAGAGGGCATTGCTGCAGCAGCGGCAGCGCCAACGGCAGCAGCAGCCGCAGCTGCTGCTGCTTGCTGCAGCAATTCCAGGAAGAGGCGTTGCACAAGGCCTCCTAGGAATCGTGCTGGCAGCAACAGCAACAGCAACAGCCGATACAACAGCAGCAGCAACTGCAGCTGCAGCAGCAGCAGCAACAGTGCTCGCACAAGAACGCGGACACAGAGCGATGCCACGCATTCCATGCTCAAGAAGAAGCCGCATCAAGTTGAAGATCAATTTTTCCGGTGAGGGTTTAGTGTTTAGTGTTTAGGGTTTAGGGTTTATGGTGGACGCGTGTGGGGGTACATGCGGCAAGTTGTTTTGTCTGCCTTTCCTCCGTTTGTATGCTTTATTTGCTGTTGCAAGTATATTTGTTTTGTTATTTTTCTTCTTGATTCCTTTTTCTTCTATTTGTTCCCTTTTTTTCTGTACTTCCCTGTTTTTCCTGTTCATTTACCCCGCTAAATTGCTAAGATAATAAGTACTATCATGTATTGCAGCAATATTAATACTTAAAAATAATAAAATAATTTATTGTTAATTTAGTAATATGGTTTATTAGTAGTATTTCTTTGTCTTTTGCAGCATTAAAATGTGCCAAAACTTCCTAAACGGCAGCTGCTCCAAGAGTAGCAGCTGCAGCTACGCCCACAGCCAAGAGGAACTCCGCGAGCCTCCGGCTCTTACTAAGACGAAGATGTGTGTACACTGGCAGGCGGTAAGCAAAACTGTAAACCCTAAAGAAACCCTTAACCCTAGTATACTTTCTAGGCTCAGTAGTAGTTGTTGTTGTCGAGCACTGGAGGCTAGACTAAACCCTTCAAGCGTCAACGGCATAGGGTTTAGGGTTTAGGGTCTCCGGTCAAGGGTTTGGTGGCTGCAGGGTACGTGCCCCGCTACTGACGGCTCGTGTGTTTTTGCCCACGGCGAGGCAGAACTGCGTAGCACGAGCGATTATTACAAGGTTCGCCACATTGCTGCTGCTGCTGCTGCTGACTCTGAGCCTTCTGCTGTTGTTGCTGCTGGTGATTCTGATGCTTCTGCTATTGCTGCTTCTGGTGACTGTGATGCTGCTGCTATTGCTGCTGCTGCGATTTGGGGTCGCCAAAATTTAGTTATGCCGTGAAAGGCAGGGAACTAATTCCGTAGCAGCAGCAGTACCAGAAGCGTAACTGCCCCAGTTCAAAGGGAATCCAACTGTGCTGTAGCAGCTGCTACAGCTGCAGACCGTCCTTAAGGAGTGTGGAGAGTGGTGTTGCTGGTGTGGCTGCTGTTGCTGTTTCTGCTGCAGACAAAGCTCTGCAAGTTTTGGGTACGGGGGGGAGCCTGCCCCGCAGGAGAGAGCTGCCGCCATGCTCACGGAGAACAGGAGCTACGGAAACGCAAGTAAGCAGCAGAAGCAGCAGCAGCAGTTGCAGCAGGAGTCAGGCTTTGCGTACAGGACGTGCAGCATGTGGCATTCTCTGGTGTAAGCTGTTTATTGCAGCTGGATGATCATTTGTGCTTGCTGCTGCTGCTGCTTCTGTTGCTGCTGCAGTTACAGGCGCACAGAACTCGAGAAGTTTGCTTCTGTGCATGGACTCAATATTGTGGCACTCCTTGAGGAGCTGCGCGGTGCTGCTAGCTTGAATGTTGCTGCAGCAGCAGAAGCAGCAGTTATCAGGAATAAAGCAAGGAAAGGTGCGGCAGAAGGGCAGCAACAATCTTCTGGAGGCGTCACAGCACCAGCAGCAGCAAACGCTACCACGACTACTGCAGCTGCTTCTGCTTCTGCTGCTCCTGGTACTGCAGCTGCTGCACAGACGGAGGGGCAGCAGGTACAGCAGCAAGCCCCGGGGGCAGACAGGCAGCGTGGTGGATCGACACCTACGCAGAACAGCCGAACGGCGCCGGCGGACAGACAGCAGCAGCAGCAGCAAAAACAGCAGCAGCAGCAGCAGAAGCAGCAACAGCAGCAGTCGCATCATCACCACCATGGCCATGGCCATGGCCATGGGCACCATCGACGCGGGGACGGCCATTCGTCAAGAGGGCAGCAGCAGCAGCAGCAGCAGCAGCAGCAGCAGCAGCAGCAGCAGCAGCAGCAGCAGCAGCAGCATCAACAGCCTTTTGTGCCGGAGCAGGACCCAACCCATGGCTGGCAGCAGCACGAGCAGCAGCAGCAGTTGCTGATGATGCAACGTGCTGCAGTAGAAAACAGCGCTCCGGTGTATGCGCAGGTACCTTTTGTTCCTACAGATGTTTATTCCACTATCCCAGGCCTGCTGCCTTACGCAACTCCTTTTGTTCAGATGCCGTATGCAGCAGCAGCAGCTGCTGCTGCTGCTGCTGGTGCTGCTCCGGCGCCGCAGTACGCCCCCGCAAGCTTCCCCCTGGGTATCTTCCCCCCGTATCCACTGCTGCAAGTACCCCCAGTGCAGCAGCCTCTTGTTAGCCCAGCAGCGGCAGCAGCAGCATCAGCACCTACAGCAGCAGTATCCACTGCTGGGGCGCAGCAGCAGCCGCGCGCAGAGGGACCGAGGGATGCCTGAGCCATCTCCCTGCTGAGGCGCAGCAGCAGCAGTTGAGGCCTTCGCTGCTGCTGCTGCGGCGTCAGCTGCCGCGGCGACCACTAATATGGATTCGAAGCAGCTAGCTGTGTGTAGCCAAAGGAGCTAGCTAGCTAGCTGTGGGAGAGCTAGCTAGCTAGCTCTGGCTGTCCGCTAGCTACCCGACCCGGTGGACTCGGTGGCTGCTCTCGTTGTGGGGAGATGGGCTATTTACGGCAGCGGCAGCAGCTGCTGCTCGTGTTGTCGGGGGATGGGCTGTCTCCAGCATCAGCAGCAGAAGAAGCAGCAGCAGCAGCTGCTGCTGCCTTTGCAGCAGCAGCTGGTGGGTATATTGTAGTTAGTAGTCGATCGGCAACTGCCCAGTCTTTCCGACGGAACGAAGTTGTTGTTCGTTGTCTTGCTTCTTTAGTAGTACCTGTAGCAGCATTAGCAGCAGCAGTAGTAGTAGCAGCAGCAGCAGCAGCAGTAGTAGCAGTAGCACCACCAGCAGCAACAGCAGCAGCAACAGTAGCAGCAGCATCATTAACAGTAGCAGCAACAGCAGCAACCACAGCAGCATCAACAGCAGCAGGACAAGATGAAGAACAAGATGAAGAAGGAGGAGGGCAAGAAGCGCACTTTGCTGCTGCTGGTGCCTCTTCATTTATATACGATATCACCGACTCTTTGCCGGATTTTATACCCAGCAGCTGTGAGGCTATATTTGTGCTTCCCGCTAGCTGCTGCTGCTGCTGTGGCTGCTGCTGCTGCGCTTGCGGATCTTGCTGATCCGTTTGGTGCTGTTCCGCAGTGCAGCAGCAACAGAAACATGAAGTGTATGCACACATCGGGGATGCACATAGCAACCGCAGCACGTGCAACAGCAGCAGCACCACGTGTAGCAGCAGCAGCACCACTTGCTGCTGCAGCTATTTCCTTTCGAAGCAAACGAAACATATTTCCAAAGGCCAGAGGCCTTTAAACCAAAATGGGTGCCCCAGAGTTTAGCACTAGTCACCAGAATAGCGGCAGCAACGACAGCAGCAGCTGCACCGGCTGCTGCTGTTGCTGCTTCAGTTGTTGGTGCTATGCTGCTGCATTAACTGTAGAACGGCCATGAATGGCAGAGTGCAGCAGCTCGCTTAGAACGCGAGCAACTGTCTCCTTAGAAGCAGCAGACCCGTGCTGATCACTGGTAGCTGCTGCTGCTGCGGGTGCTGCAACAGCGGTAGCAGCTGGCTGCTGCTGCGTACTAGCAGGAGGGAGCTGCAGTTGTTGGGCAACCGCAGCTTCTCCTGCTGCTATTTGAGCGTTAGCAGCAGCTAAAGCAGCAGGAGGGACAAGCGTGCTGCTACTCAATATGATAGCTTGCTGCTGCACGATGAGACGCTGCTGTTGCTGCAGTATCTCCGTGTGCTGCTTGCTGCTCTCCAAAAGCCGCACGACTTCCCTCTCTACCTGCATCGTACAACATATGCCAATGTGAAGCTTACGTCTTGTTCCCGGCAGAACCCTTGGCTGCTACTGCTGTTGCTGCTACTGCTACTGCATTTGCTGCTACTGCTGTTGCTGCTACTGCTACTGCTGTTGCTGCTTTGTACCTGTGAACAAGTTGCGGTGCTGCGGGGGACCCCCAGGAGGTCGCATACAGATCTGAATAGAGTATCAAGGGGTCTATGGCGGCGTAAAGCTGTCTGTACACCTGAAACACAATCATCGATTGTTTTATAGCCAAGACGCGTCTTCAAATCTAAGAGGAACTGCTGCTGCTGCTGCTGCTCCGCCGTCAGCTGCTGCTCCTGCTGCTGTTGCTGCTGGTGCTGCTGCACAATATGCCGAAGCGATGATACGGCCTGAGCGTCTGCTGCTGCTGCTGCTGAAAGCAAAACCTGCTGCTGCGTTTCGTGCTGCTGCTGCATGCACACGAGACGCGAGAAGAATTCCTCAACTGATGACTGCTCCTGCAGCAGATCTAAAGGCTCCTCGGGCTTCAATGCGCAGCACTCTTCCAGCAACGCAGCAATCTGCTGCTGCTGCTGTTGTTGCTGCTGCTGCAGCTGCTCCTCCACGGAAAGTGGGCAAGCCCCTGGAGGACCCACAAGGTCCCGCAGCAAACGTTGAAGCGCCGTGTAGTTGCTCAACTGCTCCCAAACATCACACGCAACAGCAGCAGCAGCAAATGCAGCAACAGGAACAGCAGTAACAGCAGAACCCATAGTTAACCGCGCCATGCGCGCTTGAGCAACAGCAGGAGGCACTCCAAAACGCAGGCACAGCAGCTCGTGAATGCCACCAAGCGCAGCAACAGCAGCAGCACAAGCAGCAGCAGCAGAGCGTACGGCTTTCGCATGACACTTGAGTTTGGAGAGGGCTCTGGCGATGAAGAGCAGTTTTTGCTGCTGCAGGCTGCTGCTGCAGCACTCTGTTGTCACCTTAGGGGCCCCTTGCTGCTTTAATCTTCTCTTCATACTCTTCAGTAGCTCAGAGTCTGTAGGAGGCACCGCTTGCAGCACCAACGCCAGCAGCACCTGCACACAGCAAGCAGCAAGAAAGTCACTCCTGCTGCTGCTACTGTTGCTGTTGCTGCTGTTCCTGCTGATGCTTCGATGCCGCCATTCTCAGCAGACACATAAGCTTTGTCTTACCCGCAGCAGCTGCTGCTGCAGCAACTGGTTCTGCTGCTGCAGAGACGCGATTCCTGATAGACTTGAAGGCAAACACCGGAAAGCCGCGCAGCACTTCTGCAGTGCACAGACACCCACAGCAGCAGAGTGGCTGCAGCACGATTGTATTATATTCACAACAGCAGCAGCACCACCACCAGAACAAACACAAGGAGAGGTACGAAACCCAACAGCAACCGGATCATATGCCAAGAGGCGCAGCATCTGACGCAGCGGCAGCCACCGGCATAGAAGCAGCAACAGCAGACCTTCACAAGCTGCTGAAGGGCCTCCCGCTGCATTCCTTGCAGTAACTTGTCGCAGCGCATCAGAAACCGCGGATCTCCGCAGCCATCTGAATCCTTAAGGGGATTCAGCTGCTCCTGCAGCAACAGCAGCAGCAGCAACAACGGCACCAATGGTAAGTGGCAGCAAACGAAAGCATCTGATGACCGCTAATGATGCGCAACACCCAAGAATAGCAGCAGCAGCAGCAGCAGCAGCAGCAGCAGCACACCTTCATCTCTCGCAGCTGTTCGTGAAGGGCAGCAACTTCTTCTGGTGAAGGCCTCAATCGAAGTTCCGTCACCTCTGCTTCCAACTGAGCCGCAAACGCAAAAACAACAGCAGCAACAGCAGCAGCTGCAGCGGGGTACCGGCAAGCGCAGTGGCAGCAGCAGCAGCAACATCAGCAACAGACGCAGCAAACGCAGGGTACTCTGCTACACTGGCTATTTACCTCCTCTTTTGTGGCCCGCAGGTCTGCTGCAACTCTTTCGTCTCGCTGCTGCCGCACCGCAGCGGCAGCTTCGGCCTGCAGCAACAACAGCAGCGCCACACATACAGTCAGCAGCACCAATCCATGTCGTCTCTGGTTAGCATGCGGCCAAGAAACAGCAGTAACGGGCAATGGCAGTGGCAACACTGCTGCAGGTGCTGCAGCGGTGGCTTGCAGCCAACGCAGCAACAATAGCAGAACGAGCAGCAGCAGCAGCAGCAGCGGCAGACCTTCATTCTCTCCGCCTTCTCCTTCTCTAGGGCTTTGGTTAGCATGGCCACATCCGATCGAAGAGCTTCTACCTCTGATTCATGCTGCTGCTGCTGTTGCTTGCGCTGCTGCTGCTGCTTCTTTTGCAGCTGCTGCAGCTGCAGCTGCAGCTGCTCCACCTGATGCTGAAGCTGTTTTTCCCTACGCTGCAGCTCAGCAGCAGCAGCTTTCTCCTCCTGTGCCTCTGCTGTTGCGGCTGCTATTGCTGTAGCTGCTGCAGTTGCAGCAGCTGCAGCAGCATCTGCTGCGCCACTGCCAACTTGCTGCTGTAGCTGTTGCTGCGCCACTTTCAGAGCTGCTGCTAATCCGTCAATCTCCCGTTGCTTCGCCTCCACCTGCAGCACGAAAACATAAGAGACCCCACAGATAAGCCCTAAGGAGAAGGCCTCAAGGACACACCAACTATCTGCAGCAGGGACAGCAACAGCAACAGCAGCAACAGCAGCAGCAGCCGCACCTTTGCTTCGTATTGCCTCGCCACATCAAGAGCCTCTCTTTTTAGAAGCATCTGCTGCTGACCTCCAGCAGATCCCCGTCGGTGCATCAGCCCTGACTGTACAAACCGAGCAGCACGCTGCTGCTGCTGCTGCTGCTGCTGCCGAGCGGCCACTGCTTCGCGCTGCTCCAGCTGCAGCAAAATCACACACATACACAGGCTGCAGCAAGTCAGCCATTGCAGCAAACTAAACACCACCAATAAATCCACAAACAAGCAAAAGCAGAGGCAACTGCTGCTGTAGACAACTAGGAGCAGCTGCAGCAGCTGCAGCACCAGCAGCGCACCACGCGTATTTGGTTGTCCCTATCCGTGATCATTTCCCGCTGCAGCTGCGCCTTTTTCTTTGCCTCCTGTAGCTGCTGTTGCAGCTCCTCATTCTTGTGCTTTGCTGCTACTAGCTGCTGCTGCAGCGATGCTGAAGCAGCAGCTTGCCGTTGGAGGTCCGCAGCAACAGCACGTGCAGCATTCACCTGCAGCAGCAGCCGCAGCAAACGATGCATAGACTCTATTAGCAGGCAACACAGCAAGAGCAGCAGCAACAGCAACAGCAACAACAGCAGCAACAGCAGTATCATACACCACACCTCTGAAGCAAGAGTGTCATTTTGTTTCCGTAGCTTGGAAAGCGCTTCACTGTGTTTTGCTGCTGCTGCTTGCTGCTGCTGCTGCAGCTGCTGCACCTGCACCAGCAGCTGCCCCCGAGCCTGGTGCGCCTGTAGGGTTTGGGCGACAGCCTCGGCACAGCAGCCTACAACCTGTTGTACATACACCTCAGTTGTCTCTACTTCATACGCGAACTCATCCTGCTGCTGCTGCTGTTCTGCTGCTGCTGGCAGAGCTGGGTGGCAGCAGCTTGCTGCCTTCCACAGCTGCAGCGGCTGCAGGTCGGCTTCGTGCAGCAGCTTATCCAGCCGCTGCAGCAGGGACCATAAGTTGTCTCTTAATCTCTCTCTGCTGTCGCGCAGCTCTTCTACGTGTTGCCGCTGCAGCAGCTGCACCATCTGCGCCTGCTGCTGCTGTTGTTGTTGCTGCTGCTGGTGTTGCTGCCGATGCAACCACACAGGACTGCCGCCGTCGGAAGAAGCAGCAGCAGCAGGAGGACTCTGAGGCTGAAACAGCTTGCTGCTGCTCCCAAAGGAAGGTGCAGGAGAGGCCAGCAGCGCCAGCTGGTGGCTTCCGTTTGCTGTTGCTGTTGTTGTTGTTGCTGTTGCTGCTGCCGCTGCTGCATCTGCTGCTGCTGCCCCAGAAGAAGGAGACGATGCACGCGATGAGTCCTCATAGAAACGCCCAAAATCCGCTGTCTGGGCCAAAGGACCAACTGGATGCAGCAGCCACTTGCTGCTATTGCTGCTGCTGCTGCTGCTGCTCGGGGCGACATATGGTTGCTGCTGCAAGTCTTGTGTTGCAGTAGCAGCAGCGGTAGTAGTAGCAGCAGCAGTAGTAGCAGCAGCAGGGAAGGGGACAAGGGATCTGTTCGTGCTGCAGCTGCTGCTGGAGGCTTGCAAAGCCTGCGGCCTATCCAACAACGTGGGGTAAGGGCGAAGTATTCTTGTGGGGGATTGTTGCATTAACAGCTGTTGCTGCTGTTGCTGCTGTTGCTGCTGTTGCTGCTGATAGCTTAAAGACAGCAGAGCTGCAGCGCCGTCTGGGCTAGACTCCAAGGCTCCTGCCACCGCCTCCACCTCTGAAGAGGCCAAGGAAGACGAAGAGAGAGTGTCGTCTTGCTGCTGTTGCTGCATCTGCTGCAGTTGCTGCTGCTGCTGCTCCAGTTGCTGATTGTGGTGCAAGGTATCTGCAGCAGCAGCAGCATCACCAGGCAGTGGGGGAAAGCCATCTAAATTAACGCCTGCATAATTCTTGCTGCCAATGATGCTGTCTTGCTGCGGCTGCAGCAGGTGCTGCTGCTGCTGTTGCTGCTGCTGCTGCGTGCTCCAATTTTGTGATGCTGACGTTGGAGACGGCGTCCCCGATTCAGTTGCTCCCCCTGCAGCAGTAACAGCAGCAGCAGCAGCACAAGCAGCAGAAAACAAAACAGCATAAGCACAAAAGTAAGCATTCAGCAGCAGCGTCAAACTAAGAGATCCACATAGCAGCAACTGTAGCAGCAGCAAAAATGGCGACAGCAGCAACAACTGCAGCAGCAGCAGCAGCAGCAGCAGCAGCAAATTCAGCTTCTCTTACCTGCCGTTGTACAGCGGCTTCCCAGTCCCATGGATACAAAATTGCTCCCTGTCTGCTCCGCAGGCTTGCTGCTGTTGTTGTTGCTGCAATTGCTGCTGCTGCTGCTATTGCTGCTGGTGCTGCTGCTGCCTGAAGAATACGGAGCAGCAGACACAGTAACTGATGGATATGCTGCTGCTCTACCAAACTGCTGCTGCTGCTGCTCCGCTTGAGGAGCAGCAGGAAAGGAAGGCATAATCCTCTTCCCTAACTCTTCTGCTTCCTCGCTGCTGCTGCTGCTGCTCATACTGCTGCTGCTGCTGGCACTGCTGCTGAGGCTGCGCCTCAATGAATCCCATGCAGTATGAGTTCCTAGCCTCGGCTGCACCTGCTGGTGCTGCTGCAGTGGTTGCTGCTGCTCCAATTGTTGGTGCTGCTGCATTTGTTGCTGCTGCTGCGGCTGCTGCTGCGGGAGCAGCAGCTGCTGCGCTGCTGCAACAGCATTTTCATCGGACCATGACCACCCCAATGCCTCCGAAGCAGTTGACGGTCGGTGGGTCTGTGCTACCCGCTGCAGCAGCTGCGGCTGCTGCTGCTGCTGCTGTTGTTGTTGCAGTTGTTGCTGCTGCTGACTGTCGTGCGTCCATGAAGTTGCCATGGATGACACAGCAAAAAAGTTGCCCTGCATATCAGCAGCAGCATCAGCAGCAGGAACCGTTGCTGCAGCAGCAGCAGCAAGAGATGAGCTCTGCAGCAAGGTTGGCTGCGCATGAACCCCAAGGGGACCTGTACCCGCTGCTGCTGCTGCTGTGTCTGCTGCTGTCCCTTCTGCTGGTCGCGAACCCAAGACGCGCCCCACCCGCTGCAGCAGCTCTCGAGAAGCTGCAATCGCCCTTGCTGCTTCTGCTCTGCTACGCGTTGCTGCTGCTGCAGTTGCGGCAACGGCTGCAGCAGCAGCTGCTGCTGCTGCGCCGCCGTCACCACTGCTGCTGTGGGCGTCTGCTGCTGCTGTTGTTGCACTAATACTGTTTGTTGAAGAGACTCCTGCATCAGACAGCGGCAGAGAGAGCAGCGGCCCGCTGCTGCTGCTGTGAGTGTTGCTGCAGTGTGTTGCAGCAAGACCCGTAATGCTGCTGCTACTGCTGCTGCTGCTGCTACTGCTGCTGCTGCTATTGCTGCTGCCAACAGAAGACCTGCTGGCGTTGCTCCTTAGGGCTGCAGTGGAGCTATCGGGAAACACAGGGAGCAACTTCCCGCTGCTCGATGTTGGCATGCCTGCTGCTGCTCCATGCTGCTGTTGCTGCTGCTGCTGCTGTTGCTGCTGCTGGTGGTGCGGAGGGGAGCCACCCGCTAAAAAGCGAGCTGCTTTGCTGCTGCGCGTGACTTCAAATGGGGTGTCGAGCTCACTAAGCAGCAAGGGGCCCTTTTTCCCCATCAGGGCACTAGCGTGCTGCTGCTGCTGCTGCTGCTGCTGCTGCTGAGAGCTGCTGTGTAGCCCTGAAGAGACTAGCTCAGCAGCAGCAAAGTGCTGCTGCTGATGCTGTTGGTGTCGAGCACCGATTGATAACGGTTCCTCTCCTGTAGTGCTGCTGCTGCTGTTGATGGCTGTTGCTGCAGCAGCCGCAAGACGCAGAGCCGCAGACTCGAATCCAACACTATTGTTGTTGGTGCTGCTGCTGCTGCTGTTGCTGCTGCTGTTACAGCTGCTGCTGTTTGTGTTGCTGCTCCTCCGGTGCAGGCTGTGGGAGAGGGTGCCATCCACGGAAGAAACAGATGGCCGTGAGAAGGGGGAGGAGGAGGGAGCAGCAGCTGCTGCTAGATTGCTGCTGCTGCTGTTGCGTCCTGTTGTTGTTGCTGCTGCTGTTGTATCTACTGCTGCTGCTGTGGCGGCAAAGGGGCTCCGCGCAGGAGGCCCAGAGACATGGAGCCGCTGCTGCTGCTGCAACTCCATCTTTAAAGCCAAATTGCGCTGCTGCTGCTGCTGCCGCTGCTGCTGCTGCTGCAGAAGCTGCTGTCTGCGGAGGCCGCAGAAGATCTGCTGCTGTGGCAGACTGGGGTATCCATACACGCTCCAGTAGAGTCGCCATCTATTGCTGCTGCTGCTGCTGCTGCAGCTGTTGCTGATGGCGCTACTCCTGCTGCTTTATTTTAATAAACTAAACAAAAATTTAATTAAATTTTTACTAAGGAAAAGAGGAGGGCCCCTCCGCCCTTAGGGGCTGCCACGCGGCTGCTGCTGCAGGCCGGTGGGGTCGGTGTTATTGCAGCGTTGAATCAGCAGCAGCAGCAGCAGCATTAGCAGCAGCACCTGCTGCTGTTCAATTATTGCGAATTAAATTTCTATTATTTGTTTCTGCTAGGAGTACTGGGCAACCTTGCCTGCTGCAGCAGCAGCAGCTGGTGCTGCTGCTGCCAGAGATTAATGTGTTGCTGTTGCTACTAGTATAACCCTGCAGCAGCAGGCCGCGCTTCTGCTGCTGCTGCTATAACTGCATTAAACTGTTAATTGAATGTGTAGTGTTTGAGGTGTATGTGCAGCTGTACACTTCCTGTGCTATTTCTACTAGTGCGGATTCACATTGCTGCTGCTACTCCTGCTGCTGCTGCTGCTGCTGCTGGCGGTGCAGCAAAGCAGCGAAAAATGTAACATGCCCCTTTAGCTGTCAACTCTGCCTCTGTGTCTCTTGTCTCGGTCGCCCCTCTCCCGCATTATTTTGTGCTGCTACTGTCTCCATTGCATGCATATCTCCTCCCTGTCTCCTCCGTTTCCTTGCTCAAGGAGACAGAGACAATACAGGGGAAGGAAGAGACAGGCAGCAAAGGGGACAGACACACCCGCTGTATGTGCACAACAATAGACTATGGGGTGTCAATACAGCCAATGCTGCAGCTAGCTGTGCTGCTGCTGCTGCAGCAGCAGCATTGGCCTTTAGGTCAGAGGCAAACGCAGCAACAGCAACTGCAAAAGGAGCAGCAGCAGCAGCCGCTGCAGCACAAAACATTCGCCTGCAAAGAACGAATCCTCTATACGTCAGCACTGTCCCTACTACTACACTGCTGTTGCTGCTGCTGTTGCTGCTGCTGTTGCTGCTGCTGCCTAGGTACTTGCTGCTCCTAATATCATACATAGCTCACTCCGCATACTTTATCCAACTAGCTAGCTACCTAGCAAATCAGTCATGTAGCTGCCTAGCTAGCTAGCTGCCTAGCTGCCTAGCTAGCTGCGTAGCTAGCTAGCTGCCTAGCTAGCTAGCTGTCTGGCTAGATATGCTTGGAGGCTAAGACTGCAACGGTGAATTATGAAAGAAAAGAAGAAATGCTGTCTCCGTTACTGCGCTGCATGTGCTGCTGCTGTTGCTGCTGCGCTGCAACAGCAACTGCTGCTGCGGTTGCTGCTGCACTGCAGCAACGACAGCAGCACAATGTGTCTGTACACACGAAAACAAAACAATTCCTACTCCTCTCTCACAATTCATCTCCCTTCTGTGCTCCTCCTTGCTGCTGCTGCTGCTGCTGCTGCTGCTGCTGCTGCTGCCCGTCTTCAGGCCCTTCTGTGTCTACTGGTACTGTGAAATTCCCCGCAAGAAACGCGTCGACATCCTTCTGGTGCCTGCAGCAGCAGAAGCAGCAGCAGCAGCAGCAGCAGCAAATGCCAGTGCTCAACCGCGGGTGGCGAAAGCATAATAAGCAGCAGCAGCAGCAACAACAACAGCAGCTGCAGCAGCAGCAACAATGTCCCTACTTTTCCTTCATGTCTATCCAGACATTCATGTTCGCTATCTTCGCCTGCGCACAGCAGCAGCAAAAGCAGCAGCAGCAAAGCAATGCTGTCTAGGCGCCACGATACTCTCGCAACAGCAGCAACACCAGCAGCAGCCATAACAGCAGCAGCAGCAGCAGCAGTCCTGTCTTACGGTGTCTGCAGTTAAGCGGCCCCATACACCAACTTCTTTCTTTCTTAATGTAACTCTGCAGCAGCAGCAGCAAAAGAAAAGGACATGCAGCAGCAACTGCAGCAGCAACAGCAGCGAAGGAGGCAATAGCAGCAAAGGGGGCTACTGGAATAAAAGAAGTAGCAACTGCAGCATGTGCAGCAGCAGCAGATGCAGCAACAGCAGCAGCAAATACAGCAGCAGCAGCACTTACACAACTTTGCCAACGGAGGCGAAATTCCACTTCGTTTTCTGCAGCAACAGCAGCAGCAGCAGCAGCAACAGCAGCAAATGCAGCAGGGTTTTCTTGAAATGTACGGTGAATCTGACCCCCATAGCAGCAAGCAAAACAAGCAGGAGGAGCAGCAGCAAGAGCAGCAGCAGCAGGAGTGCAACAACAAGCCCAGCAGCAACAGCATCCGCACGATCCCCAACAACAGAACCGTTTCCCCCTCACATAACCAATCAAATAAGCAGCAGCAGCACCACCAGCATCACCACAACCACCGCCACCAACAGCAGCACCAACAGCAGCAACAGCAGCAGCAGCAGCAGCAGCAGCAGCAGCAGCACCTGCGGCAATATTTCCTTATAGAGCTGTAGATCTAAAGTATATTGTCTCTTAACTCCCGAGTGTTTAGCCAAACCAACAAATCTAAATGATGAAAATGTACTCGATATTGAACTGTCCTCTAACGATAATGCACCTATGCAGCAGCAGCAGCAGCAGCAGCAGCAACAGCAACAGCAGCAGCAGTAGTAGTTGGAGTAGTAATAGTAGTAGTAGCAACAGCAGCAAAAGCAACAGTTGCAGCAGCAAAAATAGCAGAAATTGCAGCAAAAAGAGCAGCAAAAGCAGCAATTGCTGCAGAAACAAATATTGTGTAACAACTCGGCAGCACTATCGAGCAGCAGCAGCAGCAGCAGCAGCAACAGCAGCAGCAGCAGCAACAGCAACAACAGCAGCAGCATTACCAGGGCTGCTCCATCTGTATGCAAATTTAATATTTAAGAATACTTCAAGAGGAGACTCCGCCCATTGGAACGCCGGGGACATCCTGCAGCAGCAGCAGCAGCAGCAGCAGCAGCAAGTAGCAGGAGCAGCAGCAGCAAGACAAACAGACAGCAGCAGCCGCCACAGACCATACATGCATGCACTCAACAGGTTTACCGCGGTAAGCTGCTCTTCGACACAAGCTAGGGAACCGTTGCTGCTGCTGTGGCTGCTGTTACTGCTGCTGTTACTGCTGCTGCTGCTGCTGCTGCTGCTGTACGTACACTGCGACTGCATCGTGTTGCTTGCTAAGGAGACGTTCAACTTCTAACAAATCATTTCTTATTTCCCTCACTACACTCCGCACGCGATACCCAACATCCGCACCTGCAGCAACAGCAGCAGCAGCAGCAACAGCAACAGCAGCAGCAGCAACAGCAGCGTCAGCAGCAGTAAACATGATTGGAGACGGAAATTCAGCAGTAGCAGCATTAAGTAGAAACGCCAGCAAAATGATAACATGGCAGATAAATAAGTGAGACAAGCAGCAGCAGCAGCAGCAACAGCAACAGCAGCAACAAGAGCAGCAGCAGCAGCAGCATCAGCAGCAGCGTACCAACAATGTGTGAGTGAAGGATGATCTCTTGAGCTAATTTATACCAACCGCGGCGTAAGGAGAACTCTGCATCATCTTGCAGCTGCTGCTCTTGCTGCTGCTGCTGCTGCTGTGTTAAGCTCTGCTGCTGCTGCTGCTGTTGCTGCTGCTGCTGCTGCTTTAGCTGCGTGATTGCTGCTTTTTCGTTTGCTGCACCCTCAAAACGCGATTTGCTGCTCTTCTCTGCTGCTGCCCATACACCCGAAGGGACGGAGGTAAGAAGCAAGGTTGCTGCTGACAGCAGCAGCAGCACTTTGTATATGCTGCTGCACATTCTTCCGTGCTGCTGCTGCTGCAACAGCAGCAGACAAGTGTGTTTGCACAAAAAAGCTGCAGCAGCTATTGCTGCTGCTGTAGGTATAACTGCTGTTTCCTAGCTTTAGGTAGCAGCAGCAGCAGAAACTGCAGCAACGACTGCAGCAGCGATAGCAGCAGAAACTGCAGCACAGACTGAAGCGGAGACAGTAGTAGCAGCAGCAGCAGCAACTGCTGCTGCTGCAGCACTAGCAGCAAAAGGATAAATAGCCCTAAGCTGCGTAGCTACACCTCGCAGCTGTTATTGACTACAAGCCCCCCAGTGCTTGTTGCCTTTATCCTTTTACAGCAGTTGCTGCTGCTGCTGCTGCTGCTGCTGTTACTGCTGCTGCTGCTGCTGCTGGTGCGGCGTTGCTACTACAGCAGCACCGCCAATCGCCTTTAGCGATGGCAGAGGAGACAGGAAGAAGAAAGAGACAATAAAAAATTATTCTTTATAGGAGGGACAAAGACACAGCCCAACAACACCGCTGCCGCCTCTGCATGCTGCTGCTGCTGCTGCAGTGGCTGCTGCTGCTGCTGCTGCTGCTGCTGCTGTTACTGCTGCTGCAGTGACAGGAGAGCGGCACAGCAGCAGCAGCAGCAGCAGCAAATGTAGCTCTTTTGTTGTATCTATTGGGTGTATTTTCTTATTCGTTACCTTTACCTTATTTCTTCTTAATATCTTCTTTCCTTGTTCTATAGAGGCGCGCTGCTGCTGCTGCTGCCGCTGCTGCTGCTGCCGCTGCTGCTGCTGCTGCTGCTGCCATTGTTGCCGGTTTTGCTGCTTGTGTGGCGCCACCTCTTGGCGTCTCAGTATCCATACAGCTGATTATTATTATTAATAGTGTGTGTTGCTGCTGCTGCTGCTGCGGTGCACCGCTGAGGTTTAGTACCCTAACCTTTAACAGCAGCAGATCCTTCGTGCTGCTGCTGCTGCTGCTGCTGCTGCTGCTTGTACTTCGTGAGGGCAAGAAGAAGATGTCCGTATTTACGTGCTTCTTGCAGCTGCTGCTGTTTATAGTGTCTGTTGTGCTGCCTACTTGTGTGGCAGTGCATCAGCTAGCAACAAAGGGGAAGGGAGATGCAGCAGCAGGCGCAGCAGGAGCAGCAGGAGGAGGAGGAGGAGGAGCAGCAGCAGCAACAGCAATAAGATTATTGGAGTACTTTTTCTTAATTTGCTGCATACAATATATATTAGCATCTCTCCCTGTACGTTTGCTGCTGCTGGTGCTGCCTACCTCCCTCGTGCTGCTGCTGCAGCTCGTAGCAGCAGCAGCACTTGCTACTCCTTCCCTGTCTCTTTCTCATAAAGTTGTCTCCTTTTGCTTAGCACACGGAGAGGAATACATGCAAGCAGCAGCAGCAGCAGCAGACAGCAAGCTGCTGCAGCCCTTCAAGGCAAATGTACAGAAGGCAATTGCTGCTGCTAGACGTGCAGACAGCTAAAGGAGACAGGAGACAGCAGCAAACTGTCTCCTTCTATGTACTGCAGCAGCAGCTAGCTAGCTAGCTAACTTACTAGCTAACTAGCTAGCTAGCTACTGTCAAGGGGACAGCAGAAGGCCCAAAGGGAGGAGACTGCAGCAAACGCTATATACAGCAGCACCTACTCAAGCCAACTGCAGCAGCAGCAGCAACAGCAGCAGCAGATGCTGCTGCTGATACAGCAACAGCAAGAGCTGCAGCAAGAGCTGCAGCAAATGCAACAGATGCAGCAACTGCTGCAAGACTGTCAACAGCAATTGCAACCGCAGCAGCAACAGCAACAGCAGCAGCAGCAACACCAGCTGTATCAGCAACTGCAGCAGCTGCTTCAAGAAGAGCAACAGTAGTTGCAGCAGCAGCAGCAGTAGCAGCAGCAACAGCAGCAGTGGAGGCTGTGGCATGTCTCTGCTGCTGCTTAGGCAGGGATTGCTGCGCTGCACCTACGCCGAACGGGAGCAGCTGCTGCAGCAGCAGCAGCAGCAGCAGCATTTGCTGCAGCAGCAGCTTCTGAGGCAACTGGCGTTTTTGCTGTTTAAGGGGGAGTTTCTGCTGCTGTTGCTTTTGTTACTCTTGCTGCTGCTGCTGCTGCTGCTGTAGGGGTCAGAGGAGACAGTCTTAGAGGGCAATATAAATAGAGGAGACAAAAAGGAGACAAGGAGACACTGTCCCTACTAGTATTATTTTTATTAGCTAAATTTACTATTAATTATTTATTATTTATTATTTATTATTTATTATTTATTAGTCGCTATTATTATTATTATTGCTGCCCTCCCCTAATAGTGTCTGTCTCCTGAGGAGGGGGAGACACCTGTCTCCGCCCCTAATACATATAAAGGAGACACCTGTGTCCCTCCCTCTGCCTGTTAGTATAAAGGAGACAGTAGTCTGTATCTAATATAAAGGAGACAGTATTGTATATAAATAATTAATTAAATGGAGACAAAAAGTCTATAAATAATTAAAAGGAGACACCTGTCTCCTGCCTAGTAAGGGGGGACACCTGTCTCCTGCCTAGTAAGAGGAGACACCTGTCTCCTGCCTAGTAAGAGGAGACACCTGTCTCCTGCCTAGTAAGAGGAGACAGCTGTCTCCTGCTGCCCGTATAGATACACCTACACCTCCCTATACTATTGTGACAGAGACAGGAGACAGGAGAGACAAATAGCAGCAACTGCAGCAACTGCAGCAGCAACTGCAGCAGCAACTGCAGCAGCAACAGCAGCATGAGCTGCACACTGCTGACCGTTGACAATCAGCGGTCGCACTAAGGAGACTGTCTGCTGCAGGAGACAGATAAAAGAGAAAGGAGACACTTAATAGAGAGGGAGAGGAGAAAGGAGACACTTATAGGGGACAAAAAGGAGACACCTATAGGAGAGAAAAAGGAGACACTTATAGGAGAAAAAAAGGAGACACTTATAGGAGAAAAAAAGGAGACACTTAGAAGGCAATTGCCTTTCTTGTGTCTCTTCCTCGTTTCCAATTAAGAGGATGTGTCTCCTCTGTTGCTTCCTCATCAATTTTCCATATCTACACACACACAGCAACAGCAACAGCAGCAACAGCAGCAACAGCAGCAACATTTAAACCCTTCTATACAACACAGCAGCAGCAGCAGCAGCAGCAACAACAACAGCAACAACAGCATCAGCAGCAACAAGAACAGTAGGGGCAGGAAAAAGAACAACAACAGCATGACCAACACAAGCAAGCAGAACCACATCCCACCACCCCCACAACCACCCCCACCCCCACAACCACTTGTTGGTGGTTGTGGTGGTGTTGGTT